CCCCCCGCCCGGGCTTGTGCCTGCTCTTCCCTCCACTCTAGAGAAAAGGTCGCAGGACGCGGCGTACTCTTTACTCTCATGGGCGTTGGGCTGCGGCACTGGGTCAGTCAGGCGCATCTCAAACTCATTGCAGCGCAGCGGGACCTCCCGGTAATGGCTGATAAGGGTGTACAGACTGTCGAACACCAGGTTGTCGGTCAGGTAGAATTTGGTGGTGCCGGCTTCCTGCCTGGAGTGGATGCGGCAATGCTGGACCCGGTTGGAGCGCCTGTAGGAAGAGAGAGAGCGGGGGGGGAGTCTTTATAATGAAAACTCAGTAAAACGAAATCCAGCTACACTAGTTCTCTACATATAATTGATGCACAATGTACTGATAATCCTTACCTGCTTCTGTTCAAGAGATATTACCACAGACTGCGCCAAGGCACTGGCTACAATTCTTCTAAATCAGTACTAAGTGAGAGGGTCGGTTTGTACGCTAATCACATGATCAGTACAAGTTTCCTAACAAAAAAAAAACACTGCACCCCACCACCACCGGAAGACAAGTTCTCTCTCAGGTCCACTCCTCCTCTTAGTGAGAGGGGTTTCAATAGCCAGCCTGCTATTGGCTATTGCAATTTGAAATAGCCAATAGCAGACTGGCTATTGCTCCCTATTGTGTACTGTCTGCTGTACAGTACAGTACACTACAGTACACTCCTCGGTTTACGATAGGATCAGGTTACGATGGGTTTATCAGAACGTAACCCCATCGTTAACTGAGGAGTGTCTGTAATTACAAAAACAATTAAAAGGATAAAGGCGACCCGGCAGGACAGTTAAATATGACCCGGATGGTGGATGACTGCAACAAATCATTTAACATTTTTTTTCTGATTGAATTCTGGTTGAAAGAGATTGAAATGTCTTAAAAATTGCCAGTATAAGGGCCCGTGGCAATGGACTTGATACAGATTGATATGACATAGTTTTGGTCAGCTGTACAGAGACTGTATGGTCAGACTGTACCATGTATGATGAGCTGTAACGGGTCTTGTAACTCTACTTAAATAATCTTTTTCGATCATCTGAAACTAATGACAGAATCATTTTCTATAGCTAATTATTAGGGCTGGTAATGATTAAACTTTTCCTGTTCGATTAATCGAAAAAAATTTTCATCGATTAATTTCGATTAATTATAACGCACATACAGATCCAACTACATCGGCCTATCCACATACAGCACAGCAATGAAGTCATAAAATGAACTAGGATCACACTAATCCAGCACGTTATTAATCTCACGTGCCCCACCCAATTTCCCCCTTCCCTTCGTTAGCCGTCACGGGCATCGACGTCTTCGGACTCCTCCCCCCTTCCCTTCGTTAGCCGTCACGGACATCGACGTCACCGGACTCCTCCCCCCCTTCCCGTCGTTAGCCGACGGAGCCACTTGGAGAAGGGGGGAGGAGTCGACGGGACTCCCGGAAGCCGGCGGAGAGGTGAGTGTTTTCATTAGCGATCGAAATAATTTTAATAGTTTAAAAAGTTTTAACGATTAATCGAGAAATTAATCTTAAATTTCCACAGCCCTACCAATTATACTCAAGCTGTGTCCAATAGTTTGCTTCACTTGTCACATGACCGGCGTTGGATTATGGGTTTCCCTGAGCACTGGGGATGTCCCTGTTACAGACACTTTATCTGTAATTTTTTTGACTTCTCGGTTTAAGTTATCGCGTAAACCCCCGCCCCTCCCCTCAGAAGCTCTCACCAGAAGGACAGGGTGTAGTCGCCCACAAACGTCTCGCTCTCCCGCACCAGGAAGGTCCCATCTTTCCCTCCGGTCTCCGTGCAGTACTCATGCAGCAGCTTCTCCGCGATCTGGCGCCCGTCGCGCCCTCCGCCCAGTTTCCCGTGGAACCATTTCTTGCTGAAGTGCAGCTCGTTATTATTTAACTCCTGCAGATGAAACAGAATCATTAGGACTCATCTAGGGTTCCTCTAGAGCTGAGGCGGGCAACTCCGGCCCTCCAGCTGTTGTGGAATTACAAGTCCCATGAGGCATTGCAAGATTGACGGTTAGAGGTAGGACCCCCAGAGGCAGAAGCATGTTGGTATTAGTAGTAAAAACACAGCTGGAGGGCCGGAGTTGCCCACCCTGGCAGTAGAGGTTAATAGGGGTTCCTTTAGTAATTTGCAATGGCCGACTGACCTCTTGACTAACGGTGCCTGCAGTGTTCAATTCAATGTCACTTGGTAGATCCAGTTTTGGTGGACCAGTACAAGCCCCCCCTTTTGTCTCTTAGGTAAGTAACCACTGTCACCTTTTAGCTTCTTCCCTAAGACCCCCAACATTACATCAGGGCATTTTTCCCAAAGAACCCCCCCCAC